CTTGCTTGTGTGCGTGCGTGCTTGCTTGCGCGCGCGCGTGAGTGTGTGTGTGCGTGCGTGCGTGTGTGTGTGTGTGTGTGTGTATACGTGTGTGTGTGTGTGTGTGTGTCTATTTGTATTATATATGACACACATCTATTGTTGTTTTTACACAGCTGCGATAGACAACTATCTGGGTCTGACGAGGAAATTCAAAAGCCTTCCCTTCCAAGCGATCGTCAATGGTAACTTTGCAGTGGACACCTTCTTCACCATCTGGTGAGTCAAAACGTTTCTGCAGTTATGCAGCAAGCTACTGAGGGATTCCTGTAAACTACTAATATCGCTTCTAGACTCCTGTAGTGATTATATGAGTATATATATATATATATATATATATATANTCGTCTCGTCTCTTCTTCGTTCGTTCGTCGTCGTCGTCTCTCTCTCTCTCTCTCTCTCTCTCTCTCTCTCTCTCTCTCTCTCTCTCTCTCTCTCTCTCTCTCTCTGACGCCCATTTTTCTCTCTCTCTCTCGCAGACAGCGGGGCGGTGAACAGCTTCCTTCAGGCCTTCTCCCTCGTCACGAACATGAAGTACGTGTTCCGCTGCAAGCACCGCGATGACGGCTTCCCGGCGATGAACGGTCTCCGCGTACTCAACCTGCTCTGGCTCGTCTGCATGCACACCAACTTCTACTGCATAGGTGAGAAGGTAGTCGCAGGGGTAGAGAGGCGTGTGGGGGGGGAGAAGGGGTGTATGTGTGTGTGTGTGTGCGTGCGTGCGTGCTTGCTTGTGTGCGTGCGTGCTTGCTTGTGTGCGTGCGTGCTTGCTTGTGTGCGTGCGTGCGTGCGCGCGCGCGCGTGAGTGTGTGTGTGTGTGTGTGCATGCGTGCGTGCTTGCTTGTGTGCGTGCGTGCGTGTGTGTGTGCGTGCTTGCTTGTGTGCGTGCGTGCTTGCTTGCGCGCGCGCGTGAGTGTGTGTGTGTGCGTGTGTGTGTGTGGGGCGTGCCGTCGCGTGCATGCGTGCGTGCTTGCTTGCGCGCAGCCCCGCGTGAGTGTGTGTCGTGGTGCGGCTTGCTTGTGTGCGCTGCGGTGCTTGCTTGCGCGCGCGCCGTGAGTGTGTGTGTGCGTGCGTGTGGTGTGTGTGGTCGTGTGCTGTATACGTCGTGCTGTGGGCGGTCCGTCGATGTCTATTTGTCATTTATATGCACACATCTATTTTGTTTTTACCAGCAGCTTGCGATAGACAACTAGCTGGGTCTGACCGAGGAAATTCAAAAGTCCTTCCCTTCAAGCGATTCTTGTCAATGGTAACATTGCAGTGGAACCTTCTTCAGCCATTCTGCGTGAGTCAAATTACGTTTCTGCAGTTATGCAGCAAGCTACTGAGGGATTCCTGGTAAGACTACTAATATCGCTTCTAGACTCCTGTAGTGAGTTATTATGAGTATATATATATATTTATATATAATATATATCATATGATATATAGAGAGAGAAGAGAGAGAGAGAGGAGGAGAGAGCGTGTGACGTAGCTAATTACGTGTGATGACGTCGTGTGTTGCAGCGGCTTTCTCGTCTGCTATTGGACGGTAAAGAAGTTGAACGAGAGAGGCGACTGGGGCGACAGACGATTCTGGATTCTAAACTTCTACGTGCACAGATTGTGGAGGTAAACACCTACCCCAACCCCTCCCCCACCCCAACTTTTCCCCACCCCCCGTGCGGCGCCAGTGTGGCCGTCCTCCTGCTCTTCCCCCCCCCAAGCTACTGTCTCTCTTCCTGTCTCTGTTCTTTCTCGCACAAACGCATAGAGGGGGGGGCTTCTTTCGGTTTCGATATCACCGATAATAAAAAATCCGATTCCGGGAAAAGAAATACGTTTTAGAAAAACACGGTTTCAAAGTGGAGGTGTAGTGCGTGCGCGTGCGTGTGAGCGTGTGCGTGTGAGCGTGTGTGTGTGTGAGCGTACGCGTGTGTGCGTGAGAGCGTGTGCGTGAGCGTGCGCGTGTGTGTGCGTGAGCGTGCGCGCGCGCGCGCGTGAGTGTGTGTGTGTGTGTGTGTGCGTGCGCGTGTGTGCGTGTGCGTGCGTCCGCGCTCTCATCGTAACTCCGTCATTCGCTTGCAGGGTGCTGCCCTTGTATAGCTGGAACATTCTTATGTTCACTGCTTATGTTATTCAACATGCTTAACATGCTTATGTTATTCAACATGCTTAACATGCTTNGCTTAATCACGTCGTAACGCGAGCAGCAGTCGTCATTGTGCTAGATACCGCTCGCTATCCAGGATCCTCCAGGCGGCAGGAGGGAGGTTGGGCGGTAGGAGGTTGGGTTGAGCGGGCGGGAGCGGGGTCATTATTTCTCGTGGTTTTCACTCAAGCGCGTGAGTGTGTGTGTGTGTGTGTGTGTGTGTGTGTGTGTGTGTCTATTCTCGTGTGTTTAACTCCAGCGCGTGAGTGTTGTGTGTGTGCGATGTAGATCCATGTGTGCTGCATGTGTGTGATGTGTGTCGGAGCAGAATGGCGATGTGTCTTGGATGACGTGGTGTGTCACTCACGGCTGTTGTTGTTGTCCATGTTAGCGTTACGTGGCTTGGTCAGATGGACGTCAGGTTGTCACTCTCACGCGTTGTGTTTTCTGTTTAGCTGTATACAGTGATCTTGGAAATGAACGTGGTTGATCACTCACGGCGTAGTGGTTTCTGTGTTACGTCACAGTGTCTTGGAGCGAGACGTGAATGTGTGTCACTCCAGCGGCGTGTTTTTACCTGTGTTAGGTATACAGATGTCTTGGCATGGACGTGAGTTTGTCATCAGCCGTGTGTTTCTCGTGTTTACGTATACAGTGTCTTGGATGGACTGTTGTTGTCACCAGCGTGTTCTCTGTGTTACGGTTACAGTTCTTGGATGGACGTGGTTGTCACTCACGCAAGTCGTGTTTCTTGATTAGTTACAGTTGTCTTGCATGGACGTAGGTTTCACTCACGCGATACCCCTGCTGTTATTCTGTGCTTACATACCAAGTTAGTGTTTGGATGACGTACCGGTTATCACTCCGCGTTGTTCTTCTGTGTTAGTATACAGTGTTCTTGGATGGACGTGAAGTTGTCACTCCACTCGTGTTGCTTTCTGTGATTACGTATACCAGAAGCTAGATCTCCCATATGTCTTGGATGATCGTCGGTTGTCACTCACGCGCGTTGTTTGCTGTTGTTACGCTATCAGATTGTGTTAGGATGCGAATCGTGCGTGCGTCTATCACCGCGTCGTTTTCTGCTCTTACGTACAGTGTCTTGAGTATGGACGGTTGTACTCACGCGTGTGTTTCTTATTTACACTATATCGAGAGCTCTGTGTGTATGGACGTGACGGTTGTCACTACAGCGGTTTGTGTTTCTGGTGTTACGTAGCTACTCGTGTCATTTTGGCAACTATGGAACAGTCGTCTGTCACTCACGCGCCGGTGTTCTCCTGTGTTAGCTATAACAGTGTCTTGGATGAGAAGCGTGGTTGGTTCACTCCGCGTGGGTTTCTGTGTTACGATATACAGAATGTCTTGATCATGACGTGAACGTTGTCATCCGGCAGTGCGTGTTTCCTGTGTTCGCCTATACCAGTGGTCTTGGCAAGGACCGTAGTGTTGTCACTCACGCGCTGTGTTTCTGTGTTACGTATTACGTGTCTTGGGATGGAAAGAATGGTTGGCACTCACTCGCTGTGTTGTCTGTGGTACGTAGTACAGTGTCTTAGGTGGACTGTGGTTGTCACTCGAGACTCGCTCGTGTTTGCTGTGTATAGTATACAGTGTCTTGGATGGACGTGGTGAGTCACTTCACGCGTGATGTTTCTCGTGTTACGTTACAGTGTCTTGGATGGACGTGCGGTTGTCATCACTGCGCGTTTTCTGGTGTTAGTTTCCAGTGTCTTGGAATGAGATCGTTGAGTCTGGTTCTACTCACGCGTCGTGTTTTCTGTTTTACGCTATCAGTGTTTGGAAATGAGAGCGTGACGTTGTCAACTCACGTCTGTGTGTTTCTGTGTTTACGTAATTACAGTGTCCGTTGGATGGACCGTGAGTTAGTCACTCACGCGCCTTGTGTTTTTGTGTTACGTATACAGTTCGCTTGGAACATGGACGTGTCTGTACACTCACGCAGTGTTTTCTCGTGTTACGTGATTAAGTGTTTTGGATTGGATCGTGGTTCGTCACTCCAACGCGCTGCTGTTTTCTGTGCAGTTTTACGGATACCCAGCATGTCTTGGGATGGACGGTGGTGTTGTTCTCGAACGCGTGCTGTATGTCTGTGTCTACGTATACAGTGTCTTGGCAATGGAACGTACGCGTTGTCACCTCACCCGCGGTGTTCTCTGTTGTTACGCTATCAACCAGCTCCTGCTCTCTGGAATGAGACGTGTTATGTCCGTAACTCACGCGGCAACTTGCGCCATGTTTCTGTCTGTTACGGTATTACGAGGCTGTCTTGGGATGGACACGTGGTTGTCACTCACGCGTCGCCTTGTTTCATTGTGTTCTCATGTTAGTTTAATTTTTTTTTTTCACCCAAAGTGGTTCCCATTGCCATGAGACGATGAGCTTGCTCACCTCACGGCGACCCCGCAAAAAAACGTGTTTCTGTGTTACGTATACAGTGTCTTGGATGGACGTGGTTGTCACTCACGCGTGTGTTTCTGTGTTACGTATACAGTGTCTTTCGGACATGGAGTGCGTTGTCATCACGCTGTTGCGTAGTTTCTGTGCTAGCGGGTAAGTAGCAGGTGTCTTAGGTGATATGGCAGTTGGGGTGTGCTCACTCACTGCGGCAGTGTTTCTGTGTTACGTATCAGGTGTCTTGGCGAATGGACGTGTCGTCCTGTTCACTCTACGCGTGGTGTTTCCTGATGATTATCGATATTAACAGTGATCATTTTGGGCCATGGACCACGTAAGGTTGTCACTCACGCGTGTGTTTCTGTGTTACGTTACAGTGTCTTGGATGGACGTGGGTTGTCACTCACGCGTGTGTTTCTGTGTTACGTAATATACAGGGTGTCTTGGGATGGCACTTGGTTGTCACTCACGCGGTGTTATGTTTCATGCTCGTTCACGTATACAGGCGTCTTGAGCATATGGACGTGGTTGTCGCTCACAGCCGACGATGTTTCTGGTGACTTACGGTTATACAGTGTCTTGGATGGACGTGGTTGTCACTCACGCGTGTGTTTCTGTGTTACGTATACAGTGTCTTGGATGGACGTGGTTGTCACTCACGCGTGTGTTTCTGTGTTACGTACCAATGGTGTTGTTTCCGATGGGTGGCACATAGCGTTGTCACTCAACGCGTGAACCACAGACAACATCAAAGCCATCCAAAACGACAACAGCCAGACAAATGTTTCTGTAGTTACGTAAACAGCCATCGCGGCCATATGGACGTGCGTTGTTCCACTCACCGCGTGACGCCGAAACCACTGTTTCTGCTGTTACGTATACAGTGCTCTTGGACCAGCATGACGTGGTTGTCACTCACGCGTGTGTTTCTGTGTTATGTATACAGTGTCTTGGATGGACGTGGTTCATCGCATGCATGATGCAGTTCTACTTCGTCAGCCCAGTCTTCATACTCATGCTGAGAAAGTAAGTGTGCGCGCGTGCGTGCGTGCGTGCGTACGTGCATGCGTGCGTACGTGCATGCGTGCGTACGTGCATGCGTGCGTACGTGCATGCGTGCGTACGTGCATGCGTGCGTACGTGCGTGCATGCGTGGGTGCGTGGGCGCGTGCGTGCGTGTGTGCGTGCTTACGTGCATGCGTACGTGCATGCGTGGGTGCGTGGGCGCGTGCGTGCGTGCGTGCGTGCGTGCGTGCGTACGTGCATGCGTGTCTGCGTGGCAGAGCGTGCGTGCGTGCGCGTGCGTGGTGCGTGCGTGCAGTGGCGTGCGTGCGTGCGTACGTGCATGCGTGGTGCGTGGCGCGTGAGTGCCGTGCGTGCGTGCGTACGTGCATGCGTGTGTGCGTGGGCGCGTGCGTGCGTGCCTGTGTACGTGCGTGCTGCGTGCGTGGGTGCGTACGTGCGTGCGTGCTGCGTGCGTGGCGTGCGTACCGTCATGCGTACGTGCATGCGTGAGTGCGTGCGTGCGTGCGTGCCTGCGCTGCGTGCTTGCGTGCGTGCGTGCGTGCGTACGTGCATCGTGGGTGCGGTGGCGGTAAGTGCGTGCGTACGTACGTGCCGTGCGGGCGTGCCGTGCGTGGGTGCGTGGGCGCGTAAGTGCGTGCGTATGTGATAACGTGCCTGCGTATGCGCGTGCGTACGTGCGTGCGTGCGTGCGTGCGTGCTTGCGTGCGTGCGTGCGTGCGTACGTGCATGCGTGGCGCGTGGGCGCGTAAGTGGGCGTGCGTACGTGGCGTGGGTGCGGGGCGTGGGTGCGTACGTGCGTACGTGCGTGGGTCGCGGGCGTGGTGCGTACGTGCGTGCGTGCGTGGGTGCGGGGCGTGCGTACGTGCGTGCGTGCGTGGGTGCGGGGCGTGGGTGCTAACAAACAAATCTAATCTGGCACACTCGCGACCCAAAAACCTTTACAGTAAACATAACTTGAACGTAATATAACGAGCCAGCCCTCTAACTAATACAACAATGAAAGATCCATATAAATGCAGAAAAAGACTAAATAATACAAATAATACGATAATACGAAAAAAACGCCGAAAACGGACAAAAGCCACGCAAGATACGTCACGTGACGCTCCTTGTTTTAAAAAAAATATAATTCTTTTCGAACAGGAACTGGAAAATTGGCGTTGCCTTCGTCGTGGCTTGTATAGCGGCCTCTATGGTAACAACGGGCGTTTTAACGGTGAACTATGGACTGCCAAGCACGTACCTGGGACCGTAAGTATAGATACTGCGCTCGTGCAGCATGCACTGCAATTATATTTGTAGATTAATGTTGACAAATGACACGGGAAAGACAAATGACAAAAAAGAGCGTAGGTAGAGATGGCGCTTGTGTTGCATGCACTGCAATTACATTTGTAGATTAATGTTGACAATATGACAGGGAAAGACAAATGACAAAAAGAGCGTAGGTAGAGATGGCGCTTGTGTTGCATGCACTGCAATTACATTTGTAGATTAATGTTGACAAATGACACGGGAAAGACAAATGACAAAAAAGAGCGTAGGTAGAGATGGCGCTGTGTTGCATGCACTGCCAATTACATTTGTAGATTAATGTTGACAAATGACACGGAAAGACAAAATGACAAAAAGAGCGTAGGTAGAGATGGCGCTTGTGTTGCATGCACTGCAGTTGACAGTCGCCTGGAGATTATTGTTGATAGAGGACACGGGCGAAAGAAAAATGAAAGCGGAACAAAGAGAAAGAGAGCAAGAGAGAGTGAGAGAGAGAGAGTGAGGGAGAAAGAGTGAGTGAGAGAGAGAGAGAGAGAGAGAGAGAGAGAGAGAGAGAGAGAAGAGAGAGAGAGAGTGAGTGAAGTGGAGAAAGAGAGTGAAAGAGAGAGAGAGTGGAGAGAAGAGAGAAAGAGCGAGAGAGAGAGAGAGAGAGAAAGAGCGAGAGAGAGAGAGAGAGAGAGAGTGTGTGAGAGTGAGGGAGAGAGCGGGGGGGGGCAGAGAGAACGTGTGTGTGTGTGTGTGCGCGCGCGCGCGTGTATGTGTGCGTGTATGTCTCCAACCCTCTCCATCTCTCGCCTTCCGTCCATCTAACCTCGATCTTCGGCATTTGATGACGTCATTCTTCTACGTGCGCATGCGCAGAGCGAGCGTCAACACGACGGACACAGGTATCGATCACATCTATACGAAGCCGTACACTCGCATATCTCCCTTCCTCGTCGGAGTTCTGCTCGGCTACTACTTCGCCGTCACGAAAAACCGACGAGTCAAGATTAACCCGGTCAGTGTGTGTAGGTTAGGGGGTGGGGTGGTGATAGGGTTAGTGTTGGGGTTAGGGTTTGGGTTGCGATTTAGGTTGAGGTTAGGGTTAGGGTTAGGGTTTCCAACATAGATTCTCTCTTGTTGCAATACAACCGAAAACAAATTTTTTTTTAACAAAAAACAAAATATTTAAAACTAAAAAACAAAAATAAAAGACAAATACAAAAAACCGCGCCTCTTGTTAAATACAAAAAACTGCCACCAATCGCGCCTCTTGTTAATCTAATGACGTCACGTGCGTCTTTCTGCAGTTCGTCGTCGTCGTCTCCTGGCTGCTGTCTATCACCGTCGCCCTGCTCGTCGTCTTCGGTCTCATCGACCACTACAGCAACATCCTCGACCCGAACTACAAGAGTGTGCTCAGCAAAGCCATCTATAATAGCTGTGCTAGGTTCGCATGGAGTCTGACCATCGCCTGGACTATCTTCGCCTGCGCGACGGGCAACGGAGGTGAGAGAGAGAGTGAGAGAGAGGGGGAGAAGGGAGAGGGGGAGGGGGAGAGAGGGGGAGAGTGGGAGAGGCGGGGGGGGGAGAAGGAGCGTAGGTTCGCATGGAGGCTTCTGATACTATAGATAGAAGATAGATAAATAGATTAGATAGGAGGATAGGTAGATAGGTTAGGTAGATAGATAGGATAGATAGATAGATAGCGTAGATAGGATTGAGCGATAGATTAGATAATAGATAGATAGATAGATAGATAGGATAAGATTAGGATAGATAGACGGATAGATAGATAGATAGATAATAAGATAGATAGATAGATAAATAGATAGATAACGATAGATCGATAGATATGATAGATATTTTTTTTTTTTTTTTCTGATAGATAGATAGAATAGATAGAATAGCATAGAATAGTAAATAGATGATAGATAGATAATCGATTAGATAGATAGATAGCAATAGATAGGAATAGATAGATAGATAGATAGATAGATAGATAGAAGATAGATAGATAGATAGATATATAGTATATAAATATTATAGATAGAATAGATAGAATAGATAGATAGATAGATAGATGATTAGATAGATAGAGATAAGTGATAGATAGATAGATAGATAGATTAGATAGTATAGATAGACTAGCATAGATAGATTAGATATTATAGATAGATAGATAGATAGATAGATAGATAGAATAGATAGAATAGATAGATAGTACAGATAGATAGTAGATAGATTTAGATAGTAGCTAGATAGATAGATAGATGAGATAGATAGATAGATTAGATTAGATAAGATAGATAGTAGATAGATAGATAGATTAGATAGATAGATAGATAGATAGATAGATAGATAGATGATGATAGATTAGAATAGATTAGATAGATAGAGTAGATAGATAGATAGATAGATAGATAAGATAGATAGATAGATAGATAGATAGATAGATAGATAGATAGGCTAGATAGATAGATAGATAGATAGATATCATAGAATAGATAGATAGATAGATAGATAGATAGATAGATATGATAGAATAGCATAGATAGATAGATAGATTGATAGATAGCATAGATAATGAGATAGATAGATAGATAGATAGATTAGATAGATGATAGATAAGATAGGATAGCATAGATTAGATAGATTTAGATAGGATAGATAGATGTAGATATGATAGTAGATAGATAGATAGATAGCATAGATGTAGAGAGATAGATAGATAGATAGATAGATAGATAGATAGATAGGATAGATAGATAGATAGATAGATAGATGATAGATAGATAGATAGATAGATAGATAGATAGATAGCATAGATAGATTAGATAGATAGATAAAATAGATAGGATAGATAGTAGATAGGATAGATTAGAGTAGAATAGATAGATAGATAGATAGATAGATAAGATTAGATAGATAGATAGATAGAGGTTAGATAGACTAGATAGATAGATAGATATGATAGATAGGATAGATAGATAGATAAATAGATAGATAGCTCGTATAAGAAGTATCGCTACATTCACATTGATCGTAATTTCGCACCGCACAAGTTACACTGCGCCTGTTGCGACACCTTTGAGCGTTTAATGCACCTCCGCCACCACGACCTCCCCCCCCCCCGATTCGCCCTCCGCCCCCGCGGCCGTGCGTGTCGCCATAATCACCCTCGCTGGCTCTGTTAATCGCTGCTCTTTTGTTTTCGGCTGTCAATTCGGATTTGAGAGTTCCCTCAACTTACCGCCACGTCTCTGCTTTTATCGCGCGAGATTTTCCCTATCTTTTGTGTGTATCGCGATATTAAACTAGCACGGCTTACGCAGAGTTTAATATCAAGCAAGGTTTCCGCAAGCTGAAAGCGTGAGATCATGCGTGTGTTGCTGTGTGGTGCTGTGTGTGTGTGTGTGCTGTGTGTGTGGTGTATGTGTGTCGTGTATGTGTGTGTGTGGCCGCATGTGTGTTGTGTGCTGTGTGTTGTGTGTGTGTTGTGTGTGTGTGCGTGTGTGTGTGTGTATTGCGTTTGTGTGTGTGTGCGCGTGTGCGTTGTGCGTGTGCGTGTGGTGCTGGTGTGTGTGTGTGTGGTGTGGGCCTGTTGTCGTGCTGTTGTGTTGTGGTGTGTGTGCGTGTGTTGTGTGCGTGTGCGTGTGCGTGTGTGTGTGTGTGTGTGTGTGTCTGGTGTGCCACGCGCGCAGTTCGAAACTCGTGCGTGTGTCGCTGCTTGAGATCTTTCGATGTGTGAATCCGCGCTCGTACCGAAAGCGGTTTTGGGTAGGGGTAGGAACGGGTCGGGTGTTGCGGTGCTCGATTTGTGATTCTTCCGTGTGGTCTGCGTCAGTTGTCGTGTTG